CCCCACAGCTACTGATCTCCCCAGGGCTCCCGAGTCTCTTATTTATTCATTTTAATCATTTTTAACCTTTTGGCAAACCCTAGAGGAGGGGAAGTGGCGGGGCGGCGGCGGCGCGTCGACCCCTAGGGTTTAGGGTTTAGGGCCTAGGGTTTAGGGTTTCGGGTTTAGGGTTTCACGGCGACTGCGGCACCCAGTTCAGCTAGCATGCATCGTGGCTACAATGAAGAAAACAGCTGGAGAAGCAGACAGCAGCAGCAGCAGCAGCAACAGCAGCAGCAGCCCTGCAGCAGCTGCTGCGGACGATGACGCAGCTGTTTCTGCTGCCGACAAAGACAGCAGCAGCATCAGCAGCAGCAGCAGCGAGGACGCGCTAGTTCAGGAAGCAGCAGCTGTTGATGAGTCGGCAGAAGCAGCAGCAGCAGAGGGCGACTCATCTGCTGCTGCTGCTGCTGCAGCAGGAGCTGCCGAGGCTGCTGCAGCAGCAAACCCCGAAACGCCCCCGCGGCAAGGCAGCCTTAGGGGCTCTCAGGCTGCGCGGGACCCAGCAGCAGTAGCAGCAGCAGAAGCAGCAGCAGCAGCAGCAGCAGAGGCGGTGTCTGCAGCGGAGACCGCAGCAGCAGCAGCATGGGGCGCGCCCTCCAGCCCCGCCAACAGCAGCAGCAGCAGCAGCAGCAAAGCAGCAGCACCCCCAGATATTGGCTCGCTGCTCTTCCCCTCCTGGGGAGAGGCCCTGGGGGCCCCCAGGGGCCCCCAGCCCACTCAGCTGTTCATAGAAAGGGACGGCAGCATTCGTGGTTAGTCTTTGGGGCCCCTGAACCCTAAAGGGGGCCCCCAGGGAGCCCCCAGAGGGCCCCTGGGGGCCCTGCGGGGGGCCCCCCTAGGGCCCTTGGGGGGCCTTTAGGGGGGCTAGGGTTTAGGCTTTAGACTTCAGGGGCTACGGTTTCGGGTTTGGGGTTTACGGTTTAGGGTTTAGGGTTTAGGGTTTAGACATTTTTTGGGGGCCCCCGGGCTTCTAAGTCAGTGCAAATGCTTTCCATATTCTCCAGCCTTAGAGGGGCCCCTAAAATAGCCCTTGGGGGCCCCCAAGGCCCCTGGGGGCCCCCTTGGGGCCTCTGGGGGCCCCCAGGGGCCCCCAGAGGCCCCAAGAGGGTTTCTAAGGGGCCCCAGAGGGGCCCCCTGGGGGCCCCCAAAGTGGCTCTAGGGGGCCTCCTGGGACATTGGGGGCCCCCATTTCCGTTTTTGTTAATTTACTAATTAAATGCGGAAGTTGTTTAAGAAATATAATGAACTGTGTTCGTTCTCTGTTGCGCTGCTGCTGCTGCTGCTGCTGCGTCATTGCTGCTGCTGCTGCTGCTGCTGCTGCAGTGGACCTGCATCCCAGAAGCCCGCGTGGCGGACGCAGCCGCAGAAGCCAAGGAATTTTGTCTCCTTATTTGGATGACTTGTGGGGAGAGGACACAGAAGGGGACTTGCTGCAGCAGCAGCAGCAGCAGCTGCTGCAGCAGCAGCAGCAAGGGCTGGGCCTGGGGCTGTACCCCTTCGCCAGGCCGCCCGCAGCTGGCTCCCTCAGCAGCAGCGGCAGCAGTA